CTTGGATAACTTTTTGTTTTGACATCTCTTTTCAATAAACGTACCAACGTAACACAAGCGTCCATTCACCAGCACAGTATGGGGACAGATAGGATGTTGTGCGGATGAGAAGTGATGATTGGGACTTTCAGCACAGGGGCAGATCTCCGGAGTGTCTTTGAATGCCTCACAAAGATCTATGAGAACTGTAGCAGAGAAACAGTATTCAGTCTTCTGCTGCACTGCTCGGGTCACTTTACTTGAAATTACGCAGGATTCAAAAGGTACTGCTTACACTGTTGGTACCAAGCAAATAATCATGAGGAAATGTACTACAATAGAATGTCTGCAAACTGTACATGGAAATTGAGGTGATTCTTGACTTTTTCCTGTTCATTTAAAGAACTTTTTACCATTTGCAGATAAAATACTTGGCTTTGAATTGTTAGTTTTCTATGGCAACAGTCCCAATTTTTCATTATCTGAAATTCATGGAAAAGAGTGGTGTGCAGCATATCTGATCCATGGGTTTCAGAGTAAAGAGAAATTGGAGCTCTTACCATAGCAATAACCAATTAAGTAATATAGCCTACTAGGGGTGTAACGATATCCAAATCTCATGATATGATATCGTCACAGTATGAATGAGTATGAATGAGGAGGCTCACGATTAGGGATGTGACAATATCCAAATCTCTCTGTAGGATATTTTCACGATGTACATCTCACTGTACAATATTTAGTGTGATATTTTGTGGAAGCTGCAATCAAAACTGTTAATATGCTACTTTTTCCTTTTAAAATGCCTTGACAAGATTTAATCCAAAGAACTAAGACTTAAAAGTACTTAAAACTGTTATTTCTTCATGTAGTCTACACTGAAATGGAGCAAAGGATCATGGTCTGTGCAGTTCTGTCTTTTTTTTTAGCTATTGCTGTGCCATAACTTTGACAATACGATATCACGATATTTCGGTTATTGTTACATCCCTATATCCTACAAATTGTGAAAAGTCCCTAAAATGGGACCTATAAACAGGAAGCTTGAAAGATATGAATGATTTTGCCTGCATCTAATCATACCATTGATTTCAGTTTTTGGTTATGACTTTTGCCCAACATAAAGTCTCACACTGGCACATAGACAAGGCCTTGCTCAAGAACACAATGGCAGTATACCAGTCTCAATCGCACCAACTTTTCGATTACGGTTAGTTAGCTACAAGATAGGAAATAGTTTGAAGTCCATGTAGTTGTTGTAGTGATTCTGCAGATCTCTTTGGTGTGTTTTTTTCTAACGTTGTGCTAATATAGTGTGAAGCATAAAGGGACTAGCCCACATTATTCTTGAGTTTATTGTAAGCAGTGCTGCAGGCTGTACTGTTGTTTGTAAGAAGGTCAGTCTTTGTGTCTGTAGGTGGGTCTGTTAGATTAAAGGGAGACGGTCTCTGGGGGGTTCAAGTGTCTGGGCCACAGCCAGGTTAGACCATACAAGCTTGTTTACTTGTGTTTTCATTATAATATTTTTGTGGTGCCTTGTTTTCTCTGACGCCTCCCATATGTCCAGTTGTTATTAGTAAAGTGCCATGTCCCATGCAAAATTAGTAGATGTATGTTTATGATCTTTGACCAGTTTTCCCTATTGATAACATGGTTTTCTCATAAGCAATAAAATAAATAAAATTACCAGTATTCCAGCAGATTTTTGTAACCACTTTGTTGTATTTTTTAGGTATTGGTGATATAGATCCCAGTGCAGTTGTCAGCCAGTATCGATGTTTTTCGGCTCTGCTCTATTCTCTGTGGCCATGTGTCATTCCCAAATTGTCCTCAGTGCTTCAGATTTTTCTGACTCATGAGTAACAATGGAAATAGAAGAGACATATGAGTCATGAGAGAAATTATTTTATATCTCAGATCATGTAATAGTCTTACATAATGCTTTTTCAGACATTCAAAGTCGCTGTAGATTCTCATGCTTTATTCCTTCATTCCTTATCCGGTGGTGGTGCCCTGGGACACAGACAGAAAAGAGGAGGCTTGCCTGCTCCATCAGCCCCTTCAACAACCACCAACACTCACGCACACACCACATTCATACTTGGCAATGTGGGTGAAGTACCTTGCCTAAGGACACAATGACAGTTTTGCCACTGGCGCCCCACTGTGGCACCTGCTTTTCCCAGCAGTCGCCTATCCAAGCACTAACCAGGTCCAGCCCCGCTTAGCCTCAGAGATCTGGCGAAATCAGACTTTGACAAGCCAGTACAGCCACAAATACATTTAGTTATTAGTTTTGCAAAAATTAAGAAAAGGTCAGTAATCTTTACTTCAACTTGAGATAAATTCATGGGGCTTGCTATGGATTTAAAAAACAAAATATTGGTATCAGCAAATATCGGTTATCAGCCACAGCAATGGGACAAATATTAGATATCGGTATTTACTCAAAAAAATAAAAGTCCATCTCAAGCCATCCCTAATTATTTTGCTGAGTTCTAACAGTCTATTGCTCTTTGCTCTACTTTTAGAACCCAACAACTTCTGCAGTTGTCAGTGTCATTTTCGTCAGTCACACCTCAGGATGTGAAGGTGTTCCAACAGTCTGTGTGTGAGGAGACTGTGGATGCTTTTTTCTGTCTGCACTGAATGCTTAAAAGCCAAAGAATTCAGAGAAAAAAACTCACTTGGATACACTGCAGTTCCTTCTAAACACCACCTCTAATTGGGTGAAGTACAGCCCTGAAGGTTGCTCCTCCTAATAGGGATTTCATGCTCAGAATATAAAATAACAAATAAGGCTCTGTTTCTAACTCTGTGTGGGTCTTGTTGTGTTTTTGTAGTCTGTGGGTGAAAAGTACACAGCAACAAAGAGATGTCTACATTATGTGAACAGACTCAAAACTGAACTGAAACTGGACTGATTTGAGTAATTTTGGCGTAATTATGTGGTGGGTCTTGCCTTGAGTCTAATGTTGTGTTCAAAATAGGGACTAAACATAGAACTAGACCAGGACTAATCTAGGACTTGAACAGGATCAATCAAGTCTACATCAGGACTAAACTGGGCTTAAACCAGGATTAAACCAGAACTAAACCAGGATTAAACCAGAACTAAACCAGGACTAAACCAGGAAGTGTGAACAGGGTATTTAGACCATATTTAAGTTAAGCCAATAATGTAAAAAACAAAACAAAACCAAAAACAAATTCTAACTTGTAAACTCAATTATGTAATTATAGGATATATATATATATAGACTAAAATATAAATTGTGTAAAAAGGGCACAGTGATTTTTTTATATTAATAATAAATAACTATAATACAAAACATAATCATAATATTAAATAAAATATAGCTTAGTTTTATTCACTGTGCAATAGGATAGATCAAAAAAAGGAAACAATGCAACAAACTTGGTGGTGGCAATGATGGAATGTAACGAAGTAAAAGCAGCAACATGCTGTATACATTTTAGGTATCTGAACTTTACTTTAGTGCATTATTATGTACTAAAGTGAAGTTATTATTGTTTAAGAACTGCTGATAGGGCTGAGGGGTTTATTTTTAACACATTCATAGTTTGTACAAAAATAAACAAATAAAAACTACAGGATGATTGTTTCAGTTGTTTCTGTTGAACAAAATTCAGCCCAAATCTTTTTCAAAATCACTACATTTGAAGATTTATTATGGTTCGTTCAGACTGGGGCATTAAAAGAACGAGCTGGACGCCTCTAGTTGGACATCTTTGCATTTGAGTTTAGACTCGCCTGACGCTCGTCTTTGACACCGTGGACGAATGGGAGAAAAATATTTGACGCATGTCCAGGGCGTCCGTTGCCCTGGAAACAAGTGCCATTTTCTGATCGTTTCCCTGAACGATGGCAGAGAGTGACTTTAGTGCATTTATTACATAAAACCATCAGTGGAGGTGATCAGTTCAGCGGCTGTGGCGTGGTATATATTTATACTCCGCTAAAGACACGTTAATGACACTGGTTTAGTCCTGGTTTAGGTCGTGGTTTAGGCGTGGTTCAGTCCTGGTTCAGTCATGTTGATGTATTGTTAATGTAAAGGGAAGAGGGGGCAGATAACATAAGATTACTCTTCTTTCTGATCCTTTTCATAAATTTCTTGTATGTTTGATGTGACACCGTTAATGTCTTTTTATACTTTATGACTGAAATAAAATAAACAAATACATAAAAAACAAATAATAATCTGCTAATGACACAGCGTAGATTTCTTGTTCTGGTGTTTATGATTTTTTTTTCTATGGATCTGACTTTGATTTGCCTGGAATGTTCCACAGTATGACATTAAACATCTTTACCTTACATGTACTCAATTACACATGGTTTTATAGCTCAAAAATACTTAAAAAAAAACAGGCATTCTGACTCTGAGCTGGGTTGCTTCTCTACAGATCTGCCCTGTAACTTGGTCTGGTTTGGTCTCCATGAAAATAGAAATGTTCATTGCCATACTGTGACAAAGTAATAACATCTCCACGAAGAAAAGCATTTGACGGATCCTCCACTAGAAAAGTTATAAAATGTTCCTTTAGGTAAAACTACATTAACTTTTACTTGAGTATTTCTTTGCTCTGGTAAGTAACCAAACTGAGCACTTCTTCCACCACTGCTTATGGGAGACTTAAAACGGTGGCCAAAGTTGGTTAAGTGTTTGCCCTCTTGCCATTCCAGCCTTGCCCAAGCTCAAACATTCACTCAAGTCCCAGGATGTTGTTTGTGATTGTGGTGCTGTGGCATTTTCACTGATTCTCAAAGCGCCCTCGGTGTCGATCTGTAACAATATGATTCTGTTATCATAAGTTCATTACGGAGCCTGACATTTAAGTATGTAAATGGCAGCTTGAATGTATTATCTAATCTCTGGGGTCATAACGATAGCGTTGCACTTTGCAGCTATTAGGCTCAGTTTTTAATCAGAAAGACAATTACGTCATAAACAAATAACGTTTAAACTAATAATGTTTTTATTTTTTTCTTTCAGATCTTGCTGTGACATTGGCCAAGGATAAGTTTGTTGCTTTCCAGAAGGAGTATCGACAGGTAAGCTCCGTGCATCTGTTGTGTGTAACTATTGTGGCGTGAATTAATCGAGTTATAGATACTTTGCAGCTGATGTAATCAACATTTCCTGGGGGTGTGACGCTAACTGTAGGCACTGCTTTGTCTCTAACTTGTACTAGACTTTAATCCAAGCTTTATTTTAACACAATCTGACTACAAAGAACTGATTTAGCTGGAACGACAGCAGGAGAGATGATTTGTGCTGTTAAACAAGTCATAAAATTACACAAACTAGCCAGTATTATCCAACAGTTTTTCAGTTTGATTTTCAAGAAAAAGGTGAACGAGACAAACACCTAAACTGGACCAAGAATGCTTGCATTGATCAGAGGCTACTTACATTTTTGACAGTGTTTGCCGCTACCATAGAGATGCATGTAGAACACCCCCAGCGTGTTCTCACTGCAAAGTATCAGTATCTGTCCAGAACACTTTAGCTTTTTTCATTTAATTGTTAAAGGAGACATATTGTGCAAAATTGACTTTTCATCTTTTGACCATGTTGCTATCGTTTTCCCAACTCGTTTACCCTCTCAAAGTTGTATTTAGTGATTTGTGCATGTTTGAGTCATCTTTATTTTCCTGTATTCAAGACGTCATCGCCCCTGTTTTCACCCCCACCAATTTTATTTTCTGAATCGATGGTACACCTTTGATTCAGTAGCACCTAAAAGATATTTTGGTACAAGTGAAAAAAAAAGCTCTCTAGCATGATCTGCACAATTACTTTGGATCAATTTTTTAAATGTCCAAAATAAAACATAATAATCCACCGCTGTCATAGATAATAACTATTGACAAAAGCACACCATGTCTCCTTTTAAAGCTTCCAAGAACTTATTTTATGTTTATTAGTTCTTGTTCTGGTTCTGTTTTTTTTTTTATGTTCCAGGTCATATATTGCACAAAATGTATTCTTGTGAGCTTTAAGGCCATGTTATAATGTTGTTATCTCCTCAAAAACAAACCTGGAGTTGTGTTTTGTTTCATTCACATGCTTGAGTAACCCTTTATTGTAAGTCTGTCTAAAAGTTATGTTTTACTTCTAGTTTAGTTGAGATAGGCAATTTCAGAGCTGAATTCATCCAAATCAAAGGTGGAACAGTGTTTTCTGTTTGAGAGAAGAACTCAAATATGCAGGATTTGTGTGTTAAACGTGTGAAACTAAACACAACTCCATGTATGTTTGTGATGAGGAAACAACATTATAACAGATCAGAAAATGCCGTAATCTAGGCCCTTTAAACTTCTATAAAGCTCTTGGTCAGGCTACACATATGATCATTTTTGTTTATATGCATGTCTGCTCAATGCTTGACTTGTCTCTTCTTTTCTCCTGGCTCGTATTTTTGTCTGGCTATGCTCTTTCTTTGGCGCTGGGTTCTGCATGCCTTCTCCATGTGATGCTCTCTGCTCTGCTCTGGTGATCTACAGCCAGAGAACATAGTGCTGACCCTTCAGGTAAAGTCTGTCTGCTGGACTTTGTCTATTTCACCCCTCCCCTTGGTTCATGTTTTGGAGCTGCTGCAAATGGCGTAGTTGGCAGGATTCCACATCGAAAAAGACTTTTAAGTACTAAGCTTAAATTAAGTTGACATTATGAGTTGTGACACATTTTCAGAGCTAAAAAAGGGTATATAGAAAGCTTCCATAGCATACTAACATAAATAATTACAACACTGGCATCTTTTTTGTGAAATAAGGTTCTCTGTATTATTCTGTACAAAAATGTCAGAAAAGGTGATTCATAGGACATCTTTAGTCTTAAATGTCACAATAATGCTTACGATAAAAGGTTCACTATGTAACTTTTCAGTGGAGGGTATGCCACCTGCTTGTCTCCTGAATGTTCCATAGTATGGCATTTAACCCATCCATGGAGACAAGTAGGTGACTCCAACAGGTCAATTTACAGGACAGTTCTGTGGAGTGGTGACCATGCTCACAGTAAGAATCTACAGTATGTTTTTTGTTGTTGTTTTTGCAATAGAAGTAATGAAATGCAAGATAAAATCATTGCCACACTGTATAATGTACATTCCAGGCAAAGTATCAACATCTCCATGAAGATAAGCTGGTGATGGACTCTCAAGCAAAAAATCTCTCCTCTAAGGCTTGTCAAGTAGGGCTGTCATCAACTAAAGACATTCTCAACTGAAGAGATGTCCTGCTGACAGAAGCTCTTAAACAGGATCTCTTTATCTACAATGTGACCATGTACCAGCAGTCAAAATACTGCAAAAACAACTATTTAAACAGAAAAATGTAAAGGGTATTTATAAGTGTATTTATACGGAAAGAGCCAGATTAAACACGACTTACTCCCAACCCTTCTAATAATCCACTCCCTACATTCTCCTTTCTAAGAATGTGTGCACCAAAATACCTTTTAAATAAAATAATTTGTCAAAATTTGGTCGCCTAAGACACCACTGAGCGATGAATCGACTAAACCACTACAGGCGTTCAGCCCTGTTGTGCAGGCAACTTAAAGGAACTGTTGCATTTGTACAACATAAAAATGGTACTTATGAAAACAAACAATGGCACAACATAATCAATATTTCAGAATGTTTTCCCATGCCTGAGTATTCCCAGCCCCTCTGTGCACTCTCATAGACTCTGATCATACAGTGGTTTGATTCAGCCTCTCTCTCTCCTCTTTCATGAGCTTTGTCTGCCACAGAAAGTGGGACTCTGTGTCCTGGCCTGGTCCCCTGGGTGCAGGCTCTTTACACTGTGTGGTGTTTATTACACTGTCGTCTAAGGACTGTACTCTGCAGTCTGCTGGCCGCTGTCATGACATTTTATTGTAACTGCGCTTTTGTGCATCTAGACTCTTGACCAGACTCCTTAAAGACGCTCTAATACATTTTAAATAGTTTGCAGTGGTCTAAAGTTATTCCTCACATACCTTATGCACTCTGAGCATCCCAATTATCCACTGCAATATTTTTTTTTCATAACTCTCAAAGACCAGAGTGAAGTTTGCCGTAATGTCAAAGCAAACAGCAATCTTGGACTGTAAAATATTATATGCAGACAGTAGACAGCAGACATATTTTGACCTCAAGAACTGTTAATAGGGATGTAACAAAAGCCAAATTATTGTGATACTGTATCGTCAAAAGTCTTTCAATAATATCATGGGCCATCACAATATATCGAATCTCAAGTGTCTGTGCTTAAATTCATTGTTATGGCGCAGCAATAGCTAAAACAAACAGAGGGAATTACATAAATCATGAGTTTTTGCTGTGTTTCAGTCCAATTTACACAATGAAATAACTTATTTAAATCTTAAGTCTTTGGTTTACGACAAACCAAAGGCTTGTCAAAGCATTTTTAAAGGAAAAAGCTGTATATTCACAATGTTGTTAGCCTCTACAAAATATCACAATAAATATTGTACCGTGAGATGCATAATGCGAAAATATCGTACCGTGAAATGTGGATATTGTTACATCCCTAACTGTTACCACAATATATTTGTACTCACGGTTATAATCACACACAAGACAATTTATTAAGACAACAAGCCAACACAAATCATTTTAGCAAAAAATTTACAGCCACATGTACAAAATACACTCAGTTTTTGTGAGCTTTTCCCCCTTAATTTTCATGTTGCTTTCTCATCAAATACAAATAATATACTATACAATATACTAACTTCCTAGGTAGCTTTACACACATACTGTAGTTCTTAGTAGAAATAATTGCTTGTATTTTGTTGTAACTTCATTTAATTATGTTGCCCACTTGCACAGAGCCTTTAAAATGTGTCGGAGTATTGTTTAAGAATTGCCTCTAATGCTAAAGTGCACATTGGCGGTGCTCTCCCACTGCGCTCAGACTCATATTCTGAGATAATGGGGCGTGACACCAACAGCTGATCACAAGTTGTTTTGCAGCATCATTAAAACAGATGGATAATAATAATTACAGTTTTATTAGATGCAATTTAAAACCAGTTTACAGCAATTCAGAAGAGTCAGTCCCACATCACTGTAGCTTAAAATGACTTATCTCCATTTTCTATTTTAAGTTGAGTCTAACTTTTATGCCACCTTATCTTTAGGGAAATGTTATTGCTTTGCCTGGAATGTTCCACAGCATGGCATTAACCCTTATATTGTGTTAGGGTCAAAATAGACCCGTTTTCAAGTTTAGGTATGTAAAAACTGCCATTTGCTTTTTTGTACCGGAATGAGGCTTCATCTAATCCTCAGACACAACTATTTTAACGCAACAAAATCAATTTTCACCATTTTAGTAAATTGTAAAGGTCTGAAAAAAAAAAAGTGACATCTGTGGTGTTACGGGTCAAAAATGACCCGGCAGAGAATAGTGGCTGTTTTATGCATCACTTACAAGCTGTAGGCTGCTCTGTGGATCAAATATGGCTCAGTGTGTCCACACACACACACACACACACACACACACACAAAAAGGTCGTCTTCACCCACGTGAACTCTTCTCTTTCTTGCAGCACATTGATACATTTTGAATCTAAAATAAACATTGTCATATATAAACAGGGTTTTAGTGAGATATTATCAGCTGATTCTGTTGCAGCATCAGTCAACATGAGCAGGTTCACTGTTTATGAGGCGCTGGATCAGATCTTTGGTCATGACAAGTGATTCTGAAGACAGAGAGGAAAGTGAAGTTGAGGAAGATGTGTCTGAAGATGAGGATGAGGACACAGACTGAATAAAAGAAGTGGACTAAGTGAGTGTGACGTTACCCACAGCGTTTGGCGCCGCTCAAATGAAGCTCACGGTTACAGGAGCGAATCTAGAGCCAGGTTATATGTTATGAATAGGATTTTTTGGACGGACAAAACAGCCAAAAAAAATAAATAAAAATCAGGATCATGTGTCGCAGGTTAATACAAATATTTTAAGACCAAAATGACGGGGTTCACAGCAGCAGGTACAGAGAGAAGGACGACAAGATCCTAACATAAGTCAATTGGAGCCAGAGTCAGAAGGAGCCGGAAGAGCCTCCTGGAGAACTTTCTATTTGGAACGCGGTGGCTACAGCGTTAGTTATGTCCATTCATATATACGTCTGTGGATGAGGATGAGGTTCAGTATGACCCTGAACAAGAGCACACATGTGGTGAGGAGAACCCAGATGTCACAAAGACTGAAAGAGATGTCTTCAAGTCAAGAAAAAGTGACAGTTCATGGTCACCAAGCCTCTTGACACCCAATATAATTATACTTATATAAATTAGATTTATATTATATGTATTATATATAAAATTATTATGATTATAGTATAATTATATAATATAATTACAAATTTTATCACTATAGGAAATATAATTAGTGAATTTAAGCAGTTTTTGTAATCAAAAACGAGTGGTATATTTTAAGATAAAAGGTCTGTGCAGCCAAAAAATAAAAAAATAAATAAAAATGTTTCCATGGACATGAACACATACTAAGTTAGTTATGAGGGGAAAAACAATATTGGATGATATCTAGTGTTTTTAAGTATTTTCAGGCTGAGTTAAATCACGGGTCAAATTTGACCCGGTAACACTAAAGACGCGTGTAGCTTTCTAACACAATACAAGGGTTAAAGTAATCAATCTAAAATTTATCCTATGTAACTAACTTTTTTTCTGGCGCTTCTTGCTTGTCTACTACAAGATTGATGCGTTTAAAGGTGCATAGTGTAACTTTTCTGGTGGAGGGTCCGTCAAATGCTTTTCTTCATGACGTGTTATTGCTTTGTCTGGAATGTTTCACAGTGTGGTATCACGTTACAGGTCAGATCTGTGGAGAGGCGACCTCGCTCACAATCAAAGTCAAAATGCCTGTTTTCCTAGGTATTTGTTAGCTCTAAAACCACCTGTAATTGTAAGGTAGAGCTGTTTAGTGTTATTAGTGGTTTTCAGATTCTAGACTGTGATGATTTCATTCTCTCAAATTGGGGGGCAAGAGACAAATTTCCCTATAAATAACATTCCCTATTCCTAGATTAATAACATTGTACTCATGAAATATCCAAAAAGTTTATTCACAAATCTTTAATGACTAAACGCATTAACTTGCTGTATTACAACAAAAGCATACATTTTAACTGTGTTTACTTTAGCTGCCCCCATCTGTATTAATGCTGTGATGTCGTCTGAAGCCGAGCAATACTGTGGAACATTCCAGGCAAAGCAATGATATCCATAGAAACAAGCAGGTGACGGCCCCTGAACCTCCTTTCATGTCATATTGTGGAATATTCCAGACCATCAACACAATCAGTCGGCGTACCATCCAACAAAAAATTTACATATTGCATCTGAGAGTGTTTCAGACCGTGCACTAGTTTGATTTGGCTTCATGCCTGCTCTGATATCTGTGCTGTAGCAAGTATTAGCAGTGAAAAAGGTAAATGGTTGCATAAATAAAGTTATGCATTAGTCAAATTTTACATGCGACTTTAATTGC